GCCTTCGACTCTGTCCATCTTTGTCTCTCAACATCCCATTCAGGAATGTGCCCTAGGGTTTAAGCAAGGTTCTCCATCTGGATTATCTCCTGTTATTCTGTTGAATTCCTACTCATCTTTCAAGAGCCAGCGTGATGCCATGGCCCGCCTTCCTCTGAGCTCCCACAATACCCCGTTTCCCTTGGCTGCATCCTGTCAGAAGTCTTTCTCGACTTCTGAAGCTCTTTGATCTCCCTGGGTTATCCTTAAGGCCTGGGTCTGACCCACTTCTGTGCCTCAGAGGTCAGGTCACCTCCAGCGCCAGGTGCAAGCTCTGGCAAGCCCAGGCGGGTTAGAGGAATGAGGCATTGCCTCAAGGTTCTGGCCACTGGGACTGCACTGCGCCTGCGTGCTCCAAAGGCCTCAAAGTTACCTTCTTACTTCCCACGTGCACATGCCCACCAGCAAGCAGCAGCTTGTGGAGCTAAAAAGGGAACCTAGAGAAAGGGGGTGGAGTGCATGGGAGGGGCCTAAGGAATACAGCAGGCTGAGACCCACAGTGGGGAAACTGAAGCGGAGCACAGCCCTGACTCTTGTCCAGTAAGGGACTGGTGGGGCCCATCGTTCACTAGGGTTTGAGACGGACACTGTGGCCCAAGGGAGAAGCAGACCCTAGAATTAAGCTCAGCCAACAGGCAGCAGTTCCTACCCTTAAGCACAAGCAGCCCCAAGTTGAACCCCAAACCTGGAAAGGTCCTGAAAAGAAAGCCTACTGCGACCCAAGCCAAAGAGAGTCCCCCAGCTCAAGGGGAGGAGGAGCGCGGAAGCTCCCGTCACCCTCCCAACCTGACCTGGCCCATGAGGGGGCACTGCTTTCACCTCAGCGCTGCTGCTTCATCCCCCAGGCAAGTCACTTCCCCTCTCTGAGCCATTTCCTGTCAAACTGGGGGTAAAACCCCCACTTCACACAGCAGGCAAAGTATTAAATCAATCTTGAGCATGCCCAGACCTGAGCTCCCTCCCAGAGAGGGTGCAGAGAAAGTGAGGTCACACAGTGAGCAGCTGGACCAGGCCTGGACTCCTGGCCAGGACTCACCCACTAAATCTGCTGCTTTATCCCTTGTACATCAACACAGGTCGAGGGTCCAGGACAGGTTCCCAGGTGTGAGCAAGTCCACCCCCTCCCACAGGAGAGGCCAAGAGTTAGAATCCCTGCCTACCCCATCCCAAGCTCCATCCTGGTTCCCTTCCCCATCGGGAAGAAAACCCTTGGGTGTTGTGTAAGAAACTTGAGTTCCTAAGCCTGTAAACAAGTGGTGGGGCAAGAGCAGGAGGCCACAACCTCCTGCAGCCACAGGGGGGCAGGAAGAAGTGTTTGACATCAGGGAGAGAAAGAACAGATCCAGATTTGATGTGACTCTCCAGAAGGTGGTTAAGTGGGGAACCACCTGGGGAGGGATTCCAAGCCTGGCTGCTGCTCTGTTTGGTTTCCAAACCTCACAGACAGCTGGCACACGTCACTGAACGAGTTAAAAGTATTGGTACTCCCAAGGAGCAAAGCATGTGTCAGCGGGGCTGCAAGTACTCGTGACTCCGAGGCAGTACAGCGGCGCCTTGGTACTCATCGGCGACCAGATCATGAGGAGTGCTGGAACCGGTGAGCACCTAGTGAGGCATCTCCTTTAACCGGCAGCATCATGACTCACATGGGTTCTAGCAAGTGTGACAAGTCTCAAAACACGCTTTTCTCATCAAAATGCAACGAGCACCAGGCTTGACAAAGGTCTGAAGCCAATGAGTACTGAGGTATGACTGTACTTCCTTTGACAGATGAGGAAACTGAGGCCCAGACAAGAGGACAAGCCTGTGGTGGCCACTGACAAGACGACGTTAACACCCTGCTCACCCTCCAGCCCAATTCTGGGCCAGGAATTCCGGGACTGGTACTGGGCCCAGGCTCTCATCATCTCCTTCCTCCAGCCCATGAAGAAAAGAGTCCCAGAGAGCCCTGATGCCCACCTACGCCCCTTCCAGGGCAGTTTTATTGGTGCCATTTATAAAAGACCTTTCCCATCAGCCCCCAAGCCTTTGCCTTTCTCCTTCTGAGAAAGCAGTTGGCTTCTGGTCCTGGCCCCATAGGCAATAGCACACATGGTCTGGTAACTGCTGGCAACACACCTCACACTCTGGTATAGGTCCCTGTGCAAGTCCATGCCCAGCTCTGGGGAGCAGGGGAAAGTGGAGTGCCAGGTATGTGTGTGGAAGGTGGACAGAGCCCTGGCTCACTGCAGAGATGTGTGGGCAAGGTGAACGGGCCCCATGTGTGCCTCAGCTCCAGTGCCAGGGGTGGCTGAAGCCCAGGGTTGGGTGCAGTAAAATCAGAGATCCTGAGAGAGAAGCCCTTAAGCCAAATAAGTGTGTGGAGCAGGCAGGGGCAAAAGCCCAAGAGAGATTTCCATGGGGGCAATGTGTACACACAGCCCAGGGTCAAGGACACAATATGCAAGAGACCCTTGGTGACTATGTGGCTATGTGCCCTTCCCTTTGGAATCTACATGCTGGAGCCCCTGGCCTCCTGGAGCTGAAGAACACACCTGAGGGTGGGGGTGGGGGGAGCTTGGGAAGGAAACTCAGCTGGAAGTGGTTCAGGCCTCAGAGCCCACATCCTGTCAGAGAAGCTGTCAATGAGCCAGGCTGTCAGGGGGGCTGGTCATCTGTCTGTCTTAGTCCTCAAAGGTGCTGGAGCGACAGTCCCCTAGGAGCAGAGATGGTCTTTATCCTCTCGGGAAGGTGGCCCGAAAGCTAAAAGGTGGGGTCAGTCCCGCCAGATCCAGGATCAGGAGGCCTCTGACGGGCGCCGTCCCCCTTCCTCCTCCATGAGCAGCAGGCGGCGCCGGCCGGCCTCATAGTCAGCCTCATCCACACTGACCAGCAGGCGGACGGCCTCCCGGCCGACGGCCTCCCGCAGGGCCTCAGTTAGGAACACGCCCCGCAGGGCCTGCAGCAGGGCACCACTCAGGTAGTCCCCCCAGAAGGCGTCCAGATAGGAGAGCTCTGAGAACTTGATGTCACACACCACGGAGCCGAGGTCTCGGGAGCGCAGCACTGCCGTGGCCTGCCCAAACACGTCGAGTTGCCGTGCCAGTGCCTGGGGCCGCCGAGATGCCACACCCTGCTCCAAGGCTGGCCCGTGTTCGCAGTACTCTGCTCGCACTCTGAGCCGGATGTCTGTGAAGAAAGAGGACTCGTCAGTAAGGGGCTGATACCCAACACGATGCGCGAGGACACTGCCACCCCCCCCCTCCCTTGGGCCTCCTCCGCAGGCCCCTCCCACTGTCCTGTGGGCTGCGCTGCACCTGCCCCACATCCTTCCCCCTTCTGGTAACCACACCCAAGTATGGGTGACACCCTCACATGGCTTTCCTCCTGTGGTCTGGCCCATTCGTTACCTCCTGACCCCACACCCTCCTCTTTCCCTCACGTGCCCCCACTCCAGCCTCACCACCTCCTTGCTGCCCACTCCGCCCACCCCCAGGCAGGCTCTCCCTAGCCCCGGGATGCTCTGTACCAAGTCTGCTCCCTCACTTCCTTCAGGTCTGTGCTCAAATGTCACCTCCCCAACAGGGCCTATCCCAACCGTGGCAGTTACAGCTTCACTACCACCATCCTGGCTCCCAGCATTCCCAGTTCCCTATACCCTGCTCCCAAGGCGCTTACCACTTTCTCACCTACTCTAAGCTTTCCCTTCCTGTCATGATATCACCCACCTTCCCACAATGTAAGCTCCCTGAAGGACAGATTTTTGTCGGTTTTGTTTATTTCTGTAGCCCTTTGTCCGCTTTGTCCCTGTGGCACACAGTAGGTACTCGATATATATTTATGAAAGAATCAGTGCATGAATGAATGACTCCCCTTTAGGCAACCAGTCTAACCCCTCTTCCGCCTTCAAACAGTGACATTCACGTGAGTCAACCACATTCCCAGCCCCCACCCACCAAGCAAGCACCAGACCCAGGAGACGGGCTTGAGCTGGGCTGGCCCTACAGGAACCAAGTATTCTCTTTCCAGAAGCTGCTAGAACGGTGGGCTGTAAAATGGCAGAGCTGCTGAGGGCCCTCCGCCCCCAGGAAGGGAGAAAACAAAGCCTACACAGGTAGGGCCAACGGTACAGAGGAAGAGTCTCCTGAGCTCATCAGATGAGCCGCAGAGCACCTGGAGTTTCAGCTGCAATTTCTTTTCTGCTGAAGCCAGCCTGAAGTTGAGTTTTTGTCACTTATGATGCTGCCCTCACCTACTCAAACGAGAAAGACGGCAGCTCTGTGTGGTGGACAGGAAGACACGGGACTTCTACAGCTTACCCTTATAAATGTGCCTGCAGGAGCATCACCTTCCTTTGGGATTACTGAACCTGCACCTGTGAGCAAGGGCTATTAACACACAGCGCAGGCCGTCCAGAGGATCAGCTGCAGGCTGCAAGTAACAGCAGTCCACACCGCACAGCACTGACTGCCTGCCAGGCGCCACTCATAACACTGGACTCCTATGAAGTCACTGAATCCACAAACAACCCTGTGAGGCTGGCCCCACCACCAACTCCACTGCACAGATGAGGACACCGAGGCAAAGAGAAGTGCAGTGACTTGCCCAAGGTCACATGGTTGGGCAGTGGCAGCACAGGGCCAAAGCTGCTGAACCTCCATGCCCCAAAGAATAGCTCAGGTCAGTGAAGCCGTTCCAACCCGTCCACTAGCTGTCTGACCTGTGAGGGGTCAGTCTCTCCCAGCCCAGTTTCCTGCCTAAACTGGGAGACAATCCCTGCTGTGAAGGGCTGTTAAGAGGATTAAAAAGAGCAAAGAATAGAAAGAAACTGGCTAGTGTGGTGCAAACACCATGCCCACAGGTTCTCCAAGAATAGTAGCCTCCAACAGCTCCCATGTGCCAGACGCTTTGCCTCAGGGGAGTCAGTAGGGTTTAGCCCTGTGGGGTAGAGGCCACATTCAACCCCTCTGACATATGAAGAAACTGAAGCTCTGGGAGGGGAAGTGTCACATCCTGGACTCCCTTTACCTTTCACAGACCCTGTGAGCAGCAGATCGGAAAGTAGAAAGCAGGTCCCTGCACTCCGAAATGACTTCTCAATACCACCCACTTCCTCCTCCCACTCCAAACCCCAAACCCTTCCTCTTTCTGCCTTGAGAGGAGCCTCACCCTGTCTCCTCGAAGCCCAGGGAAGCCTGCCTGGCCTTAACCCCAGGATTTCGAAGGAAACTCCCTCCACCTAAGGACCAGGTAAGACCTCAGGGCTCACATCCTTGACTCCTTTGAGTGTCTGACCATGCTCTCAATTGGCGTGGGCTGGGGAACAGGGGACTGGGAGGAGCAGCACCTGTCCAAGGCCACACATGGCTGCTCAGTGGCAGAGGCACAGAGCCAGGTGGCGGAGTCAGACAGACCTTGAGGCGAGTCCCGGCTCTGCCACTCTCTAGCTGTGCGGCCTTGGGCATGTGACCTCACCTCTCTGAGCCTCCGTTTCCCCATCTGAAAAACACAAACAAACAAGAGGTCCCTGCTACACAGTGGGGTCATGAGGATTCCCTGAGGCAGCTTGTGAAATGCCTGACCCGGGGCCTACAACACTCAAGGCACTCAGAAACAGGAACTACGATTCCGACACCCACCTCTCACGCCCAGGTCTTACCCTCTCTTGCCTGCACCCCTGCACTAGACTCCTCCTCCCTCACCTCTTTCAATCCCAGCTACATCCTTTTATGCCCTCCTCTCTAGTCTCAAGGAAAGTGCTCTCAGCACAAGCCTCACTCACTCACAAAAACGACCTGCCAACCTTCTCTGCCCAGAACTGCCCACTCTCGCCCACCATGCCCTGCCCAAGTGAATCCCCCCCGGGTAATCTTTCTCCTCAGCAAAGGCTACTACTACAAGACCTGTGGCATGAAATGTCTGTCTATTCACCCAGAGCCCACCCCACAACATGGGGGGTGGGCAGAAGAATAGAACCAGGGTGGAGTTGTGTGAGTCTCATTGATTCTTTCATTAAACAGCTCTTTTCACTGAGAGCCAGCAACAGGGAGTGACACAAGCACCTGCCACAGGAGAAACTGGAGTGTAGCCCCCAGGGAAAGAGCACTTCCCACGGACCTGGGCCTACCCAAGTCCCTTCCCTGTCTTAGGCCCCCAAGTCTTCACAGAACCTTCATCGCCCCGTTTACAGAGGAGTAAAATCCCACTGGGTCTAGAACACAGCAGAATAGCACACAGAGGCCACACACCATCTGAGCTGCAGCTCCGTCCCTGGCCCTGGGTCACCGCACGCATGCAGTCTCCCCTGGACTCCTCACCAACGACTCAGTAACGACGGGTGACACACCAGCAGTTCTGACTGCAGGCTGGCACACACTTCACACCGACCGACCCTTGTGATCATCCCTTCAATGCTATTAGGCAGCGCTGTTATCCCCTTTTTGCAGATGGGGAAATTGAGGCCCAGGACATGAGTCACCTGCCCAAGGCCACAAAGGCAGGAAACCGCAGAGAAGGAATTCCAACCGAGGTGCCTGGCTACAGGGCCCGAGCTCTTAACTACCCCTATCTCGCTTGCTGCCTCTCACAACCATACACAGAAACCTGTAATTAAAAGACATCCTGAGAGTAAGCAGAGAAAATGACAGAGCACGAGGTGTACGTAACTTAGATCGAAATGATCAGAGAGGATCTTTTCAGGAAATGACACTGGAAGTAAAATGTGAATGAGGACAGGTAGGCTGCGACAGAGACACTGGGGGAGAGAAGGGCAGCATTCCAGAAGATAAGACGGCGCATGAAAATCCAGAGGCAGAAAATGAACGTGGGACATTCAAAAGCTACAATCCAGTGTGGCTACATCACAGTGGAGGAGAAGGGCACAAGGGGATGACGGGAGGGAGAGAACTGACCACACCCTGGCAGGCCGTAGTAGGGAGTCAGGGCCCTGCCAGTGACCACACCTCCCTGCATCTCAGTGGCCTTCTCTCTGAAATATCCCCATCCTAACCCTGCTCTCATGAGGTGCTAGGCCCTGGGCCCGGTGAACAGGTGAGCAGCCTTGCAGGCTAATCCCTAAACTAGGTGTGGTGTGGGGCCAGAGATAATCTCTCCCAGGTCTTCTCTCTGGGAGTGCCCAGTGGGGCGGCTGGGGACAAGATGACCTGTGCTCCCATGGTGCTCGGTGGACAGAGGCAGCCAGCGTGCTCCAATGAAAAGACCCCTGCCCTCCACTACCACACAGGGCCAGGACCACCCCCCCCTGGACAACAGTAGCACCCCTCCCTTCCCCAGTCTCTTCCCCAAGAGACAGCCAGAGTCAAGATGTCAAATGAGAAGTTCTTCAACCTCTACTGAAGCAGTGGATCACGGCAGTGAGGAGAAGCTGCTCCCAATGTCAGAGAAAGGTAAGAACACACCACCTAGGACGTGAGCTTGAAAAAAATGAAACCTCAAACCAGAATCTGATCAAGCCTTGCCAGCCCCAACTACCAATTTTTAAGAAATACAGACAAGAGAGAAACACATTCCATCAATCCTAGCACAGGATGAGACTGGAAAAATTCAGTTTTGCAGAAGGGCTGTGAGACTACTATTCTTTATTTTTTTAAATCTTGACCTGAGAATATGTTCATTGACCAGAGAGGGAAAGACAGACAGACAGAGAGAAACATCAATGTGAGAAATATCAGCCCTGGCCAGTGTGCCTCAGTGAACTGAGTGCCGGCCTGTGAACCAAAGGGTTGCTGGTTCGATTCCCAGTCAGGGCGCATGCCTGGGTTGCAGGCCAGGTCCCCAGTGGGGGGCGTGTGAGAGGCAACCACACATTGATGTTCCTCTCCCTCTCTTTCTCCATCCCTTCTCCTCTCTCTGAAAATAAATAAATAATTTTTTAAATGAAAAGAAATATTAATTGGTTGCTTCCCATACATGCACCCTGACCTCAGATCAAACCTGCAACCTAGGCCCTGGCTGGTATAGCTCAGTGGTTTGGGTGCTGTCCTACAAACCAAATGGGCCATGGGTTTTGGGCAAGCCCCCACTTGAGGGTGTGCAGAAGGCAACTGATCAATGTTTCTCTCACACACTGATGTTCCTCTCCCTAAAGATAAATAAATACAAAGAACTTACATGCATGACCCATGAACATGAACAATGGTGGGAGGATTACCTAAGGGGGTGGGAGGTGCTAGGTAGAGGAGGCAAAAGGGAAAAAAAAAAATCACAACTATAATAACATAATCAACAAACTATTAAAAATAAATAAACTTTAGCCCTAGAATGAATGAATGAATGAATGAATAAATAAATAAAATAAAATAAAAATCTTACAGAGAAAAGAAAAAAAAAAGCAACCCTGTAACCTAGCTACATGCCCTGATGGGAAATGGAATCCACCACCTTTTGCTATATGGGACAGTGCTCCAACCAACTGAGCAACCCCACCAGGGCTGGGGCAACTTCTTTCAACAAATACATGCGAGGGGGGAAGAGAGAAAACAGAGATGGCTGGGGGATCCAAAAGATTAGAAGAGACTTAGGAAAACCAACTCTTGTGAGACAAGTGGAAATGTGAGCACTAATTAGACATCTGATATTAAGATATTAACATCAAAGCAGCCATTAGCAGACAACTGCTAAAGCTGGGTGACAGAAGACGGGGTTCATTACATAAGTCTTGCCTGCTTCTTTATCTCCACAGAAAACGCTGAGGGAAAAACAAAGCTCGGCCTATCATTCAAATCCTCTAATTGTTTCCCATCATTAAAAATAATGATCCCTGGTTGGTGTGGCTCAGTTGGTTGGAGCATCGTCTCCGTAACTGAAGGGCTGTGGGTTTAATTCCCAGTCAGGGCACAGGCCTAGGGTGCAGGTTCCATCCCCAGTGTGGGTACAGACGATCCCTGGTCCAGGCGCATACAGCAGACAGGCAATCCATGTCTCTCTCTCCCCTCCCCTCTCAAAATAGTAATTAAAAAAAAGTCTTTGGGCAAGGACTAAAAAATAAAAATTAAACTAAATAAATAAATGTGAAACTCAGGCCGCAGCTCACAGGATGGGCCCCTGGGAGGATGGGCCCTGGTTACCGCCCTTGCCCTCCCCTCCCAGCAGCCTCCCCTCACGTCCCCCACTGCAGCCTTGCAGCCTCGCTACCGTCCCTCCACCACCGCCACCACCAGCACACTCCCTCTTGGACCCGGAAATATTCCACCCCGGCTGTCCACACACCCCTCCAAGAGGCCTTCCTAGTTCACCTCACCTAGAAAATACATCTAAAACCGAATTTTCCATCGCTCTCTACCCTCTTAGGCCCTCCTTTTCTCTCCTCGGAGGACATCAGGCATCTCCGTCCCTTGGCTTCTTCCTCTCATCAGAACTCAAGCTTCTTGAGGGCAAGAGCCTCCAGTCCCTGATGCACCTGGCAGGAGCACTCTACAAATACTTATGTGATGACCAAACAAACAGACCCGAGTTGGCCCAGCCCCACCCATCACTCTGCAGAATGAGGGCCATCACCCCTATACTTCAACTCTGTCTCAAGAATTCAAGGTCAGGGCCCTGGCTGGTGTAGCTCAGTAGATTGAGCTCGGGCCTGCGAACCAGACAATCACGGTTCGATTCCCAGTCAGGGCACATGCCTGGGTTGCAGGCCGGTTCCCCGCAGGCCAGTTCCCAGCAGGGGACGCACAAAGGCAACCATACGTTGATATTTCTCTCCCTCTCTCCTTCCCTTCCCCTCTAAAGATAAGCAAATAAAATCTTTAAAAAAAAAAGGTCAGGCAGGCAGGTAGTACACCGGGACAGTGCCCAATAGATGGCCCTGAGAGGGACATGGAAACTCTGGGAAAATGTGGCCAAGCCCAGGACCCGACCCCACCTCCCTGTGCCCACTTCCTCACACTCTACGGCCCTCAGGAGTTTAGTCTGGTTCTACTGTAATGAGGTGCTGAGTGAGGAGTCCCCAGAAACAACAGAGCACATTCGCCACAATCCTTGGTGGGGGGAAGAGTGGGGGACACTGCCTTTAAAATACTTTACATAACAATGGCAAGGTAACAGCTGCGCTGCCACCCAGGGTAAAAGGTGTATACCCCCGGAAAAGGTATATGTGTCTTTAAGGGCCTACAGTGACTTGTGGCACAGCCAAATGTGGATGCCCACCCTGATGTCCCTGTGTCACAGGAAATTATTGCCCTGACTAAAGATGGCAGCCAAAACAAGGAAAAGGATACAGAAGAACTGGCAAAAATAAAACATCATAGGAGGGGCCAGATATGAGATCACACAGGGAGTTCCGGGCTGAGCACTTAAAAGTGGGCTGAGAGAGTAAGAAATGGACACCATGGGGAGGAAAGGGGGTAGAGGAGGGCCCTGTCCACCATGAGGTCTGAGGGTGTAGAGAGAAGAAGCCATGTAGGCTGAGAGCAAGGAAGCAGCCATGCAGGAGGAAAGAAAGTAAGGAGAGAGCTGATGGAGCCGTACAGGGACGTGCCTGACCAAGCATGGATTTGTGGGAGACGTTTGGAGCTGAACTGAACTGTGAACGGTGACTGGGAATGCAGACCCCTGCTTCTCCAAAGGGCCTACAGAGAAGCCACTCTCTTGGGGCGTGCGCCTCCCTGGACTCCACCGTGTTCCAGTGTGACCGGCACATGACTGCCTGGACTACTACATGGAGGCGAGGACAGCGCGCCCCAGGTCCTGGAGGAGAGCGCTGTGGCGAGGGGATGTCAACTCTGGGACCCACAAGTGCACAGTCCTGAAAGAACGGTGATCTGTTTACCTAGCTGCAGCCGGCTTAAGGAGAGATAAGGATATGGGGAACCTCTGGGCGTGGTTCCTTTTGGAGAACAAGGTTAAGTGCTGGCTCTCATGGGAGAACAGGTTTCTGAACAGAGGTGCTCTCACCCCTGCAAGGTTGGAATCCTGTTAGTAAAAATCTGTTTCCTTCAACACTAATTGGGTCATGTGTAAAGGCATAGCATGGCCAAGACCCAATTTGCTCGGTTATACAACCACTAAGTGGAGTGCAGCTGACTGAGGGTCAAACCCCAGAGCTGTTATAGGTGAGGAAGGGACAAGAACAGCAGGATCCTTCCTCACTCAGGTCTAAAGGAGTGAGGTCTATCACCCCTGGGACTGGGCCTCATTAAAGGGCAGCCATCTTTGCTTTCAGAGGGAAAAACCAGGGCCATAGTGAGGAGAGCCTCAGTCCAGCCCCACCCTGCCTGGTGAGTCAGCACTCAGACCTGCTTACCCATCCCCCCATCAGGGGCCAGCCACACCCTATGAACAACCTCCTTGCCCTCAAGGAAGAGACCTGATGCCTCTATAGGCAAAATCCCTCCCAAGCCTCAGCTAGGCTTGCTCCCTAGGGAGGCAGTGACTCCCTGGGCAGCCCAGCCAGCCTGGTGACTCTGGTAATTATCCCTGACTGGGGGGCAGGGCAGAGTCATGACAAAGCAGCCATCCCTCAAGGTCTACTGGTCTCTTCCTCCAACCTGCCCAGCACAGTATCACCTAGGGAATCTGATGTGTAGCCCACAGCCTGGGGATGGCGAGGCAAGACACGGAGTGGTAGGCACTGCCACTCTGCAGATAGTCTGAGGGAGCACCTGGGACCAAGGTTTTCTGGGGAATGTAGGGCTGCTTCAACCTGGGACATTCTCACCCCTGCCTGAGCACCTTACCACCTGATGCCATGTCCACAAGCTTGCCCGACTCAGAGGATGTACCAGAGATGTGACGGGGGAGTGTGTGAGAGTGTGCCCACCCAGGTCTGTGCCCTTCCCTCAGGACAGGTGCAGTCTCAAGGTCAAGGTCTGAGCCTGTGTCTCCACAGCACAGTCCACTCAACACACCCAACCCAACCTGCCTGCCGGTCCGGTCAGCTGCACATCCCTCCTTCCCTAGTCCATCCCCTTCTCGCCCTCTCCAGTGTGATCACCTCTCCTGCTCACTGGAGTTGAGCAGCCCTGTCACTCATTTGCTGCTCCCACTTTAATTTACTTCCTGCACCTGACAGGGCATGTACCACGTGCCCAGAGTTATTCTAAGCACTTTACAAACCCTAACTCACCTATTAATGGGTTTTCCACATGGGGTCGAAGTTCCTTTAAGAACAGGTATCAGATCACTTCAGATCCTGCTCCAATCCCTTGGCAGCACTTGCTGCATGGAATAAAAGCCAAACTCCCACCTACTTGGAGACCTACGGGGCTGTTCTACCCAATCCCCACGATCCCTGCCCTCTCTTCCTGAGGCTTACCGTCTAAAATGAGCTTTGGTTTCACTGGTCTGTCACTCTACTAGAAGGAGGGTCACCTCCACTAGGGCAGGGATCTCACTGCTGTTCCTGTACCTGGCACAGCGACAGTGAGAAGGAAGAACTGGTGCCCAGGCAGGGCACTGTTCCGTGTATATGACGTGTGTTAGCTCATTTTCTTCCAACAACCCTGGTGGGAAGGTACCATTACCAGCCTCACTTTACAGATATGGTGACTGAGGTGTGGAGGGGTTCAGTCACCTGCCCAAAATCAGACAGCTAAGGCCAAGAAGTAAATGAGGCAGCTTGAACCGGGATGCCATTTTCACCCCTGCAGAAGAATTGATTGCTGAGTAAATACACCCGTGCAAATGTTTGCTAAGTAAACAAATGTAATTGGCGGCAGGCAGCAGGTTGTCAGGGAAGGCTTCTAGAGGACGGAACATAGGATATGATCCTTCAACTATGGGCAGAATGTAGATAAGATGAAGACAGGAACAAGAATTCCACTGCTAAACAGAGGGATAAGAACTGCTGCCCACCTGCTAGACGTCACTGGTGTACCAGTCCCTAGGCATATGCCCATTCCTCCTGTCCCTCGGCTCAGCAGCCTGCCCCAGGCACTATCCACGCACTACCCAAGCCCCACAAATACCTACCGCAGGTCACTTTGCCTTCCGAGGTGGGTCTGGCCTGCTCCTGTTGCTGCCGGGGGGCGGCTGGGCCCCCTCTCCGCCGCCGTCTGGCACCACCACTGGGCCGGCCCCGACTCCGCCGCTGCCGCTTGGTTGGGGGGGAGCCTGAAGGGAGAAAGATGGGACGGTTAAGGACCAGATGATAGGTAGAGCACCGAGGCAGGTTGCCAGAGCCCGAGGAAGAGTTTGAGGTTGGTTCCTGTGCAGTGAGACCCTGGGTATGTACCTCTGCTTCCTCAGCCCTGTCCATGTGACCGAGGGTGGGGGGGGTGGAGTACAACCTAGCATCATTTAGAAGGGCAGGCAAGCACCCCCTGACCCAGCAACACCACTCCCAGATGTGAGCATACAGAAACTCCTAAACTCTCACACCAGGCGACCAGCATGGCAAGAGCCACAGGGCTTTGTTCATAGCATGCAACTGCATGCACTTGAAATCAATGTAAATGTGAAACAAAAACAATAATTTCCAGCTAAGGTGCTAAAGAGACATCTGCATCTTGCTTTACTTCATATAAGAAAGGAGGGTAAACAGAGATATGTACATATTTGCTATTTTGCATATAAATTAGGAATTAATGAAATTCATTACCTATTTACCCGGGGAAAGAACAAAAGAAGCAATACTCCTAAGAATCTTTTTTACATAGTTTAGTTTTGACACAGTCAAAAAAAATTTTTTTAAACGTTCGTCAAAAATTTTTAGCCCTAGCCGGTGTGGCTCAGTGGACTGAGTTCTAGCCTGTGAATCAAAGGTTTGCTGGTTCAATTCCCAGTCAGGGCACATGCCTCAGCTGCAGGCCAGGTATCCAGTTGGGGGTGCACAAAAGGAAACTATACACTGATGTTTCTCTCCCTTTCTCTTTCCCTTCCCCTCTAAAAAAAAGATAGTGGGCATCAGAAAATCTGGATAACAAATTAAAAAACCAATCAGAACTGCAGATACTTAGGTTTAAAAAAAATTTTTTTTTTTTGCCCTGGCTGGCGTAGCTCAGTGGATTGAGCATGGGCCTGCAAACCAAAGGATCGTGGTTTGATTCCCGGCCTGGGTTGCAGGCCAGTTCCCAGCAGGGGACGCATGAGAGGCAACCACACATTGATATTTCTCTCCCTCTTTCCTTCCCTTCCCCTCTAAAGATAAATAAATAAAATTAAAAAAATATTTTTTAAAGATAAACCATAAAATCAATTACGTACAGAGACAAATGAAACTAACCCTATACAAAACTATAACAAACAAGTGGAGAAAATAATTATTTCAAGTTACTTGGAGGATCATTCTGAATGCAAACTCTCAGTGAGAAATACTTCCAAGGACTAGAACCACAAACCTGCGGTTTCTTTCAATAGACAGTCAGCAGTGGTATTGACACTGTAATTTTGAAACCAATTTTTTTATTGTTATACAATAAAGCAAATAAATCCAGATACCAGTGTTATTAAAAACCAAGATTAAACAAAACAAAACAAAACAAAACACCAAGATTTTGCCCTGGCTGGTGTGGCTCAGTGGATTGAGCACCAGCCTGCGAACCAAAAGGTTGCCGATTTGATTCCCAGTCAGGGCGCATGCCTGAGTTGCAGGACAGGTTCCTGGTGCAGGGCACAGGAGAGGCAACCACACATTCATGTTTCTCTTCCTCTCTTTCTCCCTCTCTTCCCTCTCTCTAAAAATAAATAAATAAAATCTTAAAAAAACAAACAAACAAGATTTTCAGTGTAAAAGAAAAAAATCCTTGTATGTTAATTTTGAATTGAAAATACTAATACGGCCCTAGCTGTGCAGCTGTGTAGCTGAGTTGATTGGAACATATCCTGATACGCCAAGGTTTTGGGTTCAATCCCTGGTCAGGGCATATGAGAATCAACCAGTGAACACACAGATGAGTGGAACAGCAAACTGATGTGTGTGTGTGTCTCTCTCTCTTATCTCCTTCCCCACTCTAAAAATCATTATTAAAATTAAAAAAAAATAAAAAATACTAATATAAAGTTTTTTCCCAAAGAGAGGAAAGGAGGGAAAAAAGAGGGAGAGAAACATCAATGTGAGAAACATTGATTGGTTGCCTCTCTCATATCACCCCAACTAGGGACCAAACTTGCAACCTAGGCATGTGCCCTGACCAGGAATCTAACTGGCAACCTTTCACTTTGCAGGATGATGTCCAACCAGCTGGGCTTCACCAGTCAAGGCCTAATAGGAATTTTTATTGTATTTTTTTTAAGACTTTATCTACTTACTTTTAAAGAAAGGGGAAGGGAGGGAGAAAGTGTGGAAGAGAAACATCGATGTGTGAGACGATACATCAAGTGGTTGCCTCTCGCACACCTCCAACTGGGGATGTGGCCTGCAACCCAGGCATGGCCCCTGATTGGATATTGAACTGGTGGCCTTTGGTTCTCAGACCAGCACTCAATCCACCGAGCCACAGTGGAGACCAGCAAGGGCAGGGCTTAATATGAACTTTTAAAAAGCAGTTTCTGACTCTGTTCACTGAAAAGAGCCTGGAAACGATGCACATGCTCAGCACCCAGGTCTTGGTCTCTAAGTATCACTGCCTCTTAAAGAAACCAGCCTTTTCAAGGAGCTGACTACCGACTGGGGAAGGGAAAATGCAGGTGAGTGCCACATCTTGCAGTGCCACAAAGGAGGCGGCACCCAGTGCATGGAGACTCATCAGAAAGACAAAGGAGCTAGACAATCTAAACAATGACTAAATGATTATAACACAATAAATAAATAAGAGTGAGTTCATAGTGATACTCGCCATCAAAAAAAAATGGGGGTGGTGGTAGAAAGAAAAACTCTTCTTGAAAAAATGCCAGCTAATAGATGTAGGAAAATGAAACAATTAGAAAAATCACTGTTTTCCGAACACCGATGTAATAACTGGTTCAGGC